CTCTCCCACAGCAGTTCCAGGACAAGTCCAGCCCACTTTTAGATTCAATCACTGTTTTCTCCTACTATACCAAATTTGACCCCTTTCTCTTGAGTGTCTGTTAAAGTTTAGGGCAGGGGTGGGATTCTACCAGTTCACACCTAATCGCTAGAACCGGTTGTTAACATTCTAAGCAGTTCGGAGAACCAGTTGTTAGAAGAAATTACTGGGCTAATCCTGTAAGGAAGGCAGGAAGGAAACATTCTGGTGTTGCTTACAGAAACTGCCTCTCCGTTAACTCTTATTACATTCTTGGCAGGACTAGACTTCCTGCCTGTGGAACTTCTCTGGAGTTTTTCCCCCCTCCTTTGCTGGTACTTTGCTTGTGTGGAGTGACAAGTTACAATGGCACTGAAAAAAGTGACTTATGACCATTTTTCACACTTACAACTGTTGCAACATACCCACAGTCATGAGGAGATGTGTGCCTCGATGTGAGTGATATTGAGTTGGCCACACCCAGCCAATAACATGACCACCAAACCATGCCCACCACCTTAGCCAACCCATAGAACCAGTTGTTAAAAATTTGAATCCCACCCCTGGTTTAGGGTGTCGTTCAGTGGTGGGATTCAAATTTTTTTTAATACCGGTTCTGTGGGCGTGGCTTGGTGGGCATGGCAGGGGAAGTTTACTGTAAAATCTTCAGTCAGAGGTGTTATTTGCCGGTTCTCCAAACTACTCAAAATTTCCACTACCGGTTCTCCAGAACTGGTCAGAACCTGCTGAATACCACCTCTGGTATTGAAGCCTAAAGATAGAGAGCGGGGAGTAGCTGACTTTCACTTTTGCGACAGTTTTTGGGGAGGCTACTTCTATGAACCATACCAATTTTTGCGGTCACGAGCAAAGTCTTCCCTGCTAATCTTACTTCATGACCCCAGGACACAATGACCATTATAAATATGAATCAGTTGCCAAGCATCTGAATTTTGATCATGTGACCAGTCCTCAGTGTGAAAAACAACCATAAGTCAATTTTTCAGTGCTATGGTAAATTCAGATAGTCACTAAATGAACTGTTGAAGACTACCTGTATTGCTTAAACAGGCTTTAAATGACAAAATTAGTTAGATGTCATCTGTAACAATGCTAGAGTCTAAAGAATGAACCTGAATGTTTAGCTATCTACAGATATATTGTAATTCACTCACAATAGCAGAAACTTCTTTCTGGCATCTTAACATTCTTCCATCTGCTCTACTGGAAATTAGATTTATTAGGACTCATCACCGTGAGGAACATAGATTTCTTCTTGATTTAGGAGGTGTTGAACCAGGTGAGCCTGGTTTTATAGGGATCTATTCAATCTATTTATTTGCCGTTTTTATAAACTATTTAATCAATCACAAACAACATCTTGTTACTTGTAATGTAGCAAAATGCGATATGGTGACATCTATAATATGCGGCCTTGTATAACGAAGGAAACAAGCCAAATTGTAATTATCTTACAGTTGGAGTACAGAGTAATCTTCTCTTGCTTTTATGTGACTTCCTGTTTTATTGTGCCTTGTATTATTGTCTGGACATATTTTAAGTCTCTGTATTTTCGTAATAATAAAGCATTCATTGACTGTCACCAGGGAACTAAATGGAAAATCAATACAGTGGGTACTGAATAAGGATATGGACTAAAGGGCTTTGTAACAGCAACTTGTCTCTCTTCCTGCTTTTGAGTCCTCCTCTCTTCCTAGACTTACCTTTATGCTGTCCTTCCCCTGTATAGTCTCCAGGGGATTAGCAGTGCTTCCTCTATGGATAGCACGGGGTTATAGTGATTGTATAAAATTATTTAGATGCAAAAAATCCCAAGCAATAACTTGAGGCATACAGAGAAACCATGCTTTTCTGAAACAGCATAGATTGCATAGGGATTTCAATATAGGTTATAAAAATGAAATTTGTGGAATTAAAAAAAAAAAATCACAGAGTAATTGTTATATTAGAACTGGCAGATGTACAACTGGGGAAATCTTGTGGCAGTCAGTGAAACAGCTTCGTGTCAATATTGTTTTGGTATCCTGCATTAATTCAAACCCCTAGTTAGTTGTGTAGTACCTTGGAAAGTAGGCTATCTCACCTTAGTTTATCTCTTAAGATTTTTTAATGAGAATATTTAAAAGAGACAAAGCAGAGTACACAGAAAAATCCCATAAAAATGAGTAATCACGATGGCAAACCAGAATGTGAAAAGCTCTAACATTATGTTAATTTCTTTAGTGGGAAATAAAGAGATTCCAGAACTTAGCAAGGTAATTCTGTTTTTTTCCCCCCAGCAATGATTTTGGATTGATTCTATTTATGGCTTGTTAAGGAGCAGGTGTGCATAGCTACTAAGCCAGACAATGCTTAAAAACCACCTCAATCTTGCATTGTGACTGTCCATTGCTTCGTAACTTGCCTATTATGATGATCTCTATAAACCTCACATGCCGAACGTCTATTGAACATTGATGGCTTGGAGAACAGGAACAAGATTTCTGTTGTGGTTCGCCGGCAGCAGGTGCGGACGGCTGAGGTCTCGGAGAGCGAGGACTCAGACGAGGGGCCTGCGTGTGATGCAGGGATGGGGCCAGGACCATCAGGGAGTGCAATGCTGCCTTCGGAGATTGTGGAGGCTGGCAGCAGTGATGAAGAGGTCCCCGAGGAGCCTGTGCCCAGTGCAGGTACGCGCAGGGCTGCTCGAAGGAAAAAGCAGCTGCAGCAGCACGGATGACTCAGGAGTAAGGCTGGAAGGTAATGGCCCCTCCCTGAGAAGATAAAAGCCAGCTGAGTTCTTTGCAGAAGACAAAGAAGTTTGATACTTGAGCCTGGTGGATGTTAGAATATCTGAGTTGGTGTTTGGAGACTCTTTGATTTATTGTTTAGGAAATTTATCTGTTGTTCTTGGCAGCCTTGCAAAAGCTTGGCAAGGCTCTTTCTTGTCGGAGCTAATTAGTTGGAAGCAGCCTTTTATCTGCGAAGAAACAGGATTCGTAAATGAAACAGTAAAAGGTTGTGCTGTTACCTTTGTCTTGTGTTTACTCTCTTGGAACCAGGTTTGGGTCAGAACAATTTCTGAATGGTGGACAATTAACCAGTGGAACAGCTTGCCTCCAGAAATTGTGGGCACTCCATCTCTGAATGTTTTTAAGAAGACAGTCACTTATCTGAAATAGTATAGGTTCTCCAGCTTGAGCAGAGGGCTGGATTAGAAGACCGCGAAGATCCCTTCCAGTTCATTCATTCAATTCTCTTCTAAGATGTTCACTTTGGGTTGGTAGAAACACACTGTGCATACTGATTTAAGGTTCACGCTATCAAATCTGGAGTGGAATTGGGTTCCTAATCCATTTTCTGTGAAAACACCAAGGTTTGTTTACATTTAGATGTAATGGATTTATCACACTTTTCACTGTCCGACTGTACAATCAGAGCAAGTAAACACAAGGTGGGAGTGTCCTGCAAAAACTAATTTCCATTCAAATGTGTATTAGGTAGATCGCATTGCAAGATTAATCTGAAGACAAACAGGATAATTTCCTTATTCAGATAAATACATAAGACTATTAGAATTTCTAACTGGCAATGAACTTGGCAAGGTTGAAATAAGAGATCATGAAGGAGAGTAAATATTTGGTAAAGTGAATTGCTTTATTAGAAAGGATAGAGGGGATTTTGATTGTGTGGGAGTGCTTGTGTCACAGGACACTCTGAAGTGGATGAAAGACAGGTAGGTTGAGCAAGGACAATTCCTCATTCTCCATCCCATGAACAGTGTAGCAGCAAGTTCAACAGCAAGTTCAACAGGCAGGCAGCAGAGAAAAGAAGGACATTCTAGATCAGGGGTATCAAACTCAAGGCCCGGGGGCCAGATGTGGCCCATGAGGTACTTAGATCTGGCCCCCAGGGCTGCCCTGGAAACAGCGAAGGATTGGCTCATGGTGCCTCTGCCAACAAAAACAGAACTCGGGAGAGGGTTGCAGGAGGCTGTTGCAGCTGAAAACGGAGCTCAGGAGCCTGTTTTCTCTGGCAGAGTGCTCAGATCACCATAGGCGCCCTCGACACAAGTGACAGTGAGCTGGCCATGCCCACTACAATCCCCCTCCCCAAGGTCAAACACAACCCTGATGCGGCCCTCAATGAAATCGAGTTTAACACCCCTGTTCTAGAGGGATGATTGATAAAAGCATACATAGATCTTGTATATGGAATAAATACTGGTAATTAAAGCACCTGATTCCAAGGACATGGTAGATACCGGCCTATAATATATGTGTACAAATAATCCTTGCTTAGCAACTGTCTTAGATAGTGACTCTTCATAGATATGATGGTGATGAAAATCCTCTCTTTTATGATGTTCAGTGGTTGTAAATAGCAGTAGCATTTAGACTTATATACCATCCCATAGTGCTTTATAGCACTCTTTGAGCGGTTTACAGTATCAGCATTTTGCCTTCAAACTGGGTCCTAATTTTACGACCTCAGAAGGATGGATGGATGGGTCAACCTTAAGTCTCGTCAGGATCGAACTTCAGGCTGTGGGCAGAGTTTGCCTGCAATGCTGCATTCTAACCACTGCATCACCAGGAAAAACTGAAATAACAGAGTTGTGGTTTTGCTTGGTGGCTGCTTTGTTTGATGACTGAGTTGCTGGTCCCAATTGCAGTCACTAAACAAAGACTGCCTGTATTCTGAGACAAATTGCCTTCAGTTCCATTTGGCAGCTGTTCATTCTGGCGCCCCTCACATTAAAACATTGTTTCAGGAATTCAGTTTCAGTCTCGCATTATCTCAGAAGTGTGAGGCATTTACCGTAATACATAGAGAATTTGGTTGCATGTGGTTTTTTTCCCCCTAACATGTTGATTCTGAATGCCATTTCTATAGGTAGGAAATGGAAATGTGTCAATGACTTTGTGGGTCTTTTTGTATCATCATAATCAATAATAACATCTCTTTTTCCATCCAAACAGGTTTTATTATTGGCTGGGCCTAGCCAAGCACAACGGGGTCCTGATGGGTGACTCGGCATCAAGGCGGTCAATCATTGTCTCTCGTTTGCCAATATTCCGTAGAAGTATTAACCGAAGACATGATTCTCTCCCGTCATCACCGACTTCCAACAGTACTGTTGGCGTCCACAGTTCTTCTCCCTCCAGCACCAACTCTAGCTCAGGTAGCACAGGCAAACGCAGGAGCCTCTTCCGGACACCATCCATTAGCTTCCATCACAGAAAAGGGAGCGATCAGAAGACAGAGTCTTCGTGCCAGAACGCAGGCATTTTGAATGGCGCACAGACAGGCCACAACACTTTGCAAAAGCTCGGTTTGGAGGAACACACGAAGACCAGAAGCAGACATTCCGTCAGTTTTGGAAGTTCCCGAAATAAAAAGATCACAAGGTCCTTGACGGAGGACTTTGAAAAGGGGAGGGAGCCCTCCACCAACAAGAACGTTTTCATAAATTGCATCAGTTCCGGGAAGAACGAAGGCGATGATTCTGGCTTTGCAGAGTCCCAAAGCAAGTCTTCTATTAAACATTCCTCAAGGAAGCTTCTCCCCAAGTCGTTCTCAACACACTACAGATTCTCAAAGCCGGTCCCTCAGAGTCAATCCGTTTCCTGTGTCCAACCCTCTTCTTGTTTGCTGGAGATTAAACCCAGTGTTGAAACTGATCCTGTGTCCGCAAAGTCTTCTCCTTCAGAATGTATAGGCAGCTCTTTGCTTTCTGCCGATCTGACAACGGTACAGACGCCATCCGAGTTTCTAGCATTGACAGAGGATTCCGTTTCAGAGGTGGACGGGCTGCCCGCCTGTGGAAACTTGCACCCAGAAATCTTGGCCCACAATGTGTCTTCCTCTCAAACCTTTGCTGCTTCTCCTCTTTCCAGGAAAACCAACCTTACAGAGAGTAATTCCCCTCGTGCAGAAGCATACAGGGCTAGAAATGTCTTGCTCACTGAAGCCAGTGCTTTCTCAGAAATCCTTGAATCAAATCGAAAGCATACAAAAGTATTATTGCCCGAGCTCTTTGCTAAACACACCAGCCATCTAGAAGAGGTAAACTCAGGAGCTAAAGCACAATTAAAAACCTTTGTCTTAAACCAGGGGGAAGTAGTTGAAAGTTCTCCAAAAGCACAGAGATTACAGAGGGACCAACAAAAAGCAAGGGGATTGGAACATGTCAGGGAAGTCTTTCTAGGCATCGAATCGAAGATCACTCCACTTTCTTCTGAACCTCAGCCCTTTCAAACACAGCAGGCAAATGACATAAACCACGCCAAGGGTATGTATTGTTCAACCATTGCTGTCTTCTGAAAAATGTTCATTCATAAAAAGATGTGTTTTCTTCCAATTACTGTAGGTATGAATAATACTTTAGTGAAACCAAGGGGATTGACAACTGCACTTCCTCCTCCCACAGATTAGGGATGCAAATGCTTTGAAAATTATTTGAAACAAGTGCTTTATTTTTTTAAAAAAACAAATTTTATTGATTTTGAAGACAAACAAACCATCGTTAACCTTTAAATACATAAAACCTCCATTATTAACTTTACAAGTCAAATAAAATATTATTTTATACAACATCATTCTGTTTTTCACCATTTCAGTATCATCTTCATTCCTCTCTGTCTTGTTTAACATTATTCTCATCCAACATTCCTCCGAGGTTTTATTAATTCTCAAAGAAAACATAGACACACAAAACACAAAAACATAAAAACTTCTTTTAAGAAAGTAGTTTGGCCCCAGATTACCTCTCTTTGTATGGACTTCAATTAAATTCGTGCTCATCTTATATACCATTACCTATCTTATTTACCATTCTATATCTTCTATATAACTTTCCCCCGCTTGAAACAAGTGCTTTAGACTATGGGTCGGCAACCTTTTGGACCTCAGGGACCACCAAACTATAATTTTAAATCCCGCAGACTACTAATATGAATTTTTGACTGACAGTGGCTTGCTGATGTTGGTGGGAAAGTCATTCCCATATTCCAGAGCTGCAGTAGTCACAGGACTGGCCCTTTGGTCATCCATATTCCAGAGCAGCGCCTCTACCTGGGTGCATTGGCCTGCCATGGACTGGAGGAGCTGCTCCGGGATGACCAAAGGGCCAGTCCTGTGACTACTGCAGCTCTGGAATATGGAAATGACTTTCCCACTAACGTCAGCAAGCCACACCGGGGCAGATTTCCCTTCCTCACCTTTGGTCTTACCTTCCAGTTCCAGCTGGCGTGGCTCTACTCAAGGTAAGATTTGTGCTCGGCTGAAGGGTGGGGCCCAGTGGGTGGGCGGGCCATGTGGGCAGTGCAGCCTTGTGTTCCCGCGCAGCCTGGATTAATTGCTTTGGGAGGGATATTTCTCTGCGGATCACTCCAACCCACTGGTTGGCAACCACTGCATTAGACTTCATATGAGCACCACACTTCTCTGCTTTAAGGATCCCAATACTTCTTAAAATCATCTTCACTGGCTATGTTGGGACTGTAATTATAAAATATCTAGGAAAGATGTTTGGAGAAAATAAAGAGCTATCGTTCCAATATTCCAGGATTAAAGGCAGTAATTGTGGAAGGCTGCATTGTTGCTTCTTGCTGTCTTCTCAAGAAATTGCAGCTGGCTTTACACATTGTATTAAGCCATGCATTTATTTTAACCAACTTGTTTTTGAAGAGGTCATAATGGCTTGGTTCAGAAATATTACTAAAGCTAGACTATGGTGCCTTTCAGCATATATTGCTGATTATTTCCAATGTGATTGATTGATTATGTGCCTTTTAGTTGTTTTCAGCTCCTTTTGACCACATAAACAGATTTTCTCCACGACTGTGTATCCCCTACTTCTTCTTTCAAGTCTTCCAATGGTGTGCTCATTGCCACTGTAAACCAAGTTCATCTTGCTGCTGATTATCTTCTTCACCTTCTCCTCCACCTTTCCCAGCATTTTTCATAGTGGTAGATCTTCATGCAATTCAGTGGTGTCAAACTCGATTTCATTGAGGGCTGCATCAGGCTTGGGGTTGACCTCGGGGGGGGGGGATGCGTGGCCAGGGAGGCATGGTTCAACATCACTAATGTGCATATAGGAGGCAGCAAGCATGGGTGAAAGGAAGCAATCAGAATGCAGACCCCAGGGATGCCAGGACCTATATGCGCTCACTGCCTCCTGTGCACATGCCCCTGGCTGTGGTCTGACCCAAATGGATGCCATCAGTTGCAGATCAGTGCCCAGGTGGCCTGGGCCATGCCAAGGTACTGTGGGCCAGTCCTTCATTGTTTCCAGGGCAGTCCTGCGGGCCATATCTAACCAATTCATGGGCCAGATCCGGCCCATAGGCCTTGAGTTTGACACCCATGATATAATATGCCTGACATAGAATAATTTGAACCTGGTCAATTGTGTCTTGAGTGAAAACTCTGGGTAGGTTTATTCAACGATCTATTGCTTTGTTTTCTTGACTGTCCAATGTATAGGGCAGGATTTTCCAACAGCTTTGTAAGAAACCCAGATCAAGTTTTAACTGGCTGCAGCTCAGTCAATTTCTGAGTAATGCACCTTTCATTAAAAGAAAAATTTCTGATTGATGCTTGGAGCATTGATAATGATTGTAAATAAGCCTATATATCTTACTTCACAGTGAATCTTCCCAGTAGTTTTAGTCCATTTCGAGAAGGAAGATTCACAGAAAAGCGTTTAAGGTCCTCTTCAGAAGGCACTGCTGGGAACAGCCGGATGATCTTAAAGCCAAAGGATGGAAACCCAGAAGACATAAATTGTTTAAGAAAACAGAGAACAAGTTCCTCATCATCTAAAATGAATAGCTTGGTAAGTTTGCAAAGCCTGAAGGGGCTCATTGCTTCTTTCCTTCTTGTTCTTGATGACTAAACAAAATCTGGTAGCATAAATGGAAATTTTGGTAATGTGTTGGTTTCCATATTTTCTGAGCTTGAGCCTGCATTATATGTTCTTTATGTAGAAATCAGTTGCAGGACTGTGGGCAATTGGACAGTTACAATTACAGTTACAATTTTCTGAGCCTCGGTGGCGCAGTGGTTAGAGTGCAGTACTGCAGGCTACTTCTACTGACTGCTGGCTGCCTGCAATTTGGCAGTTAGAATCTCACCAGGCTCAAGGTTGACTCAGCCTTCCATCCTTCCAAGGTCGGTAAAATAAGGACCCAGATTGTTGAGGACAATAGGCTGACTCTGTAAACTGCTTAGAGAGGGCTGTAAAGCACTGTAAAGCGGCATATAAGTCTAAATGCTATTGCTATTTTTGGATCTATGCTACAGGAAAACTGAAAACACATATTTTATCTGTAGAAAACATCCATATTTAGCCTGAAGTACCTCTAGTTTAGAATATAACTGACTTCGACTTTGGATAGCTGGGAGGATGGATTATATGGATGATGGAGATGCATAAAATTCACATAACTTTGTCATAACAAAGTTCTCTTGGGATGTTTCTGACTCCAGTGGGAGTGTAGTTTTATATAACAAATCAGGCTGAGAGAACACAAACTTCCAGATGGAAGTTTGAGGCACTTGTGAATGTAAATGGGTTTTATCACACTCAAAACTTTATTTGATGTTCTCCGTCTTAGAGAAAAAAGTAGAGGCTACTTATCTTGTTAAATAGGGGGAGATTCCAGTGGAGAATTTCTCCTTTTATATACCTGTTTCCTACAACGGAATTTGAGGAGCGAAACTCAATGATTCTGATAGAATTTTAAAACTAATGTATGTATAAATATAGAATACATTACAATTATGAATGCTATATAATCATATTTCCCTAGTTGGAGGTCCATCTATTGCATTATTTATTTCTCTGTTTGCATTGTGAGCTTTTCCTCTTTATGGAACAAATTTCATAAAACTAAGGATCTTTATATTCTTTCATTCCCAAAGATACCTTTGAAGCATGTCATGAGTTTCACATTATATCAAAGGGTTTCCTTGGGCAGGAGTGAAAATTGTGATACAGAATGTTTATTATGAAGGTTTTATTTAGTCAAGATGGAAAATTGGGGTACAACATGGAATTGAAAATGTAACCCAGCCAAAACAAAAACAAAAAATGAAACAAAAAAACAAGTGTTAGTGAAGTCTTGGTGGTGTTCAATCATTGTCCTGAAGAGGGCAGTGTTGCATTTTTAAAATACATTTTTGTAGAAGCAAATGAATAACTGAGAAGTAGCCAATTAAAGCTATTTTTCAGGTTGGTGTTTTATGTAAAAATAAGCTTTGGAGTCATTAACATGCTTTTCAGATATCAAAGAAAGGAGCCCTTTGAGATGCTTTGTGTGAAGGTGTGAAGGTCATGGTTCCTTCATTCTTCTGCTGAGTGACCAAGGAATGGCTACATCCTGCAATACTCATGATACTGCTGATCTTAGAGAATATTAAACTGAAGAATAAAGAGAGCCAAAGAGAGAGCAAGTCATAAATAGAACAATATGTAATTAATATATTTTTTGGGAAACAACTTAAAGATCAGTCTATTTTTTTCAAGAGTATTAAGGTGTTTCTAAATAGCTGTTGCAATTGACATGAAGATTCTGTGTATTTGAAAATCAACTATTCCTACAAATAAAACAAACTTCATCCTTACCATAAAACAAACTCATCCTTATATGATGTAGCTCTCTGTGCCTCTAGAAGGGACTTCTAATTTCATTTTTGCTGTGACTTACCACTTGTTTTTTCCACTCTACCTCTTATCCTTTCTTCCAGATATTTATTGAAACTTTTTGTTTGTTGCCTGTTTCTGGTCATTATATCACAGTGATCATATTTGGCATTCATGGCTGTGCTTGTTTGTTTTTCCTGCATAAACTGACAAACCTCAATTTGAGCGATTTCAAAATAAAATTAAAATCGGCTTCTAAATTAGGTGCTAAACATTTTTAAAATTTATGTTAGGAATGCTGTGCCTGGAATGATTCTGTTTTCTTTTTAAAAAATCAGTTATTTTTAATTGTCTTCCTTGCAGTAGCTTCTTTACTCCTTAAGATGTCAATGTTGCTCTGTTTGATCAGAACTAGAAATATTCTTCCAGTTTAGAGAGCTGGCTCAAGGAAGCAAAAAATATTATCTGATTTAGGTATTCTAAATTCATTGATTTGGGCTACTTTCCAACGATTTCTTGTAGATTCAGTTTTGGAAAGGGAATGGTTTTGGAAAGGAGAGAGAATTTGGGAATGAAAACTTGGATCTATGGTTGGGGTTAGGGAAAAGACAGAAATTGATCATGGAATTCTTCAAAAATCACATTAAATTTAGGTGTAGGATCAGGGACAAGTATTGTTACTAATCTAACTTTCCATTGCTTGGAACTTTCTAATGGACCGTCTTTTCAGATTTTTTTGGAGGGCCTCTGAATATTGGATTTAAATACTTACAATGAACGAAATCTAAAAGTAATCATGTGTAGATTGATGAACATAATATAGAAATATGTAATATCGTAATGAATTTCCTTGCCATTTATTTATTACATTTATATGGCTACCCACTCAACAAGAAGGTTGTGTATTAGGTACATAAGTAACCCAAATTAACAGTGCTAAGTATCCTGTCCATTCCTTGAGACTAACAGTTCAAGATGCCCCCAGATAATCAAACAAGAACTTGCTTCAGCTAACACCACATCTCTTGCATAGTTGGGAGTCCAACTCTGAGTGGATTTGTGTGATTTTATTCATCAGTTTCCCCTCCAATTAATTTTAAATAGGACTGCCAGATGGCAAAGCTGCAATGTGGTGAAAAAAATTAAAAATTAAAATCTTTAATATAGGTTCTTGTCAGTATTTGTTTTACAGTGTCCTGTAGGGTGCTGGGGGATTTTCTTCTGCTGTTTCATCTGCAGGTGTTTACGTGAAAATCAGGAAGTTCTTTTGCATTCATGGATAGAGATAAAATCTAATCTAGTTTAACACCATCTGAAGGGCACAAATTCTCTCGCTTGCCTTAGAGCAGGGCTGAAAAACCGTGGCCCTTTTATGACTTGTGTAGTTCAACTCCCAGAATTCTTGAGCTAGCCATGCTGGCTCATGAATCCTGGGAATTGAAGCCCACAAGTCATAAGGTGGCCATAGTCCCCCCCCCCCCCCCCCCTTAAAGAGTCACCATTAAGACAAAGAAATACTGAACCAAAATACATACTTGGTTAGAGGAAAGTGATAGAGCAACACATAGATTTGAAATCAGAAATATTCTTGTTGGGTATATTACCAGAATAGTATAATAAAGTGGGGGGAAATGACGAGATCCTCACAGATGAAATTGTTATTAAAAAAAATAGAATGTGCTGAGATGCATAGGTTAACACTTAAAAGAAAAGAAAAGGAAGAAACAGAATACTTCTTAACATGGGATTTGTTTTACCAATGGTTAACTGGCAGAAACAGAGGTTAGAATCTAAAAAGACTGAAAGATAAGAAAAAAAAAATGAGTTGAAAAGTTTATAAGATGGATAAACTAATTGTATTACTATTTTGTGAATAATATTGATATGTCTATTATGATGACTATTATGATTAATGTTGTAGCTCTACTTAAAACTGACTGTGCCCAGACAACACACTGTTCAGATAGATATGGAACCTTCTATATGTATTAAAAAGTGTATCAATAAAACATATACAAAAAAAGAGAGAGTCACAATTAGTAGTCCAGAACACAGCAAACTCCAAGACCAATAAACACAGACCAAGACTCCCAACCAATCAGGATGAAGAAAAAACCATTCTGGCACACAGTAGGCACCAAATTTAAAAGAGAAACGGCTGTGAAAGTCTGACTCACAGACGAACACTATACAGAAGCCTGATGATGACAGATGAGATTCTGCCGAAACGTTGCTACAACTTTCAAAGCACAACTATAATGATGTGGGAAAATTCCCGAACAAAGCTGAATACCATACATACATACATACATACATACATACATGCATGCATACATACACAGACACACACACATATACACACACATACTTATAGGAATAATCTTTATCTGGAACTCTGCTTTATACATATCCTAGATCAATAATAAAATAAAGATGCACAATATTTCCAAAATGTAAGCATTTGTCAAGCTTCTCTCTGCACAATGAAAGTTAGTAGCTATTCCTGCAAGGCAGGGAATTCTTTTTTTTTTTGTAAAAGAATCACAAAGATAAAGTCAGTCTGGCCACAATTATCTCTGTTCAAGAAACATCTTGTGTAAAGTATCTTAAGTCTCTTTAAACAAATAGAGATAACAGTCACTCACTGCTCTGATAAATACAAGGGGGGAAAAATACTGTTTAAATAACCATTCAGGAAGTTGAATTTATCCTACAGCCTTTTTAAAATTCTTACCACTGTAGAAAGAGGCATCAGTAAAGAAAAGAGTAAACAAAGGAGAAGAAGACATTTAATTAATTTGACTCAATCATAATCGAGAACCAAATTCATTTTTAAAAAGTGAGGAGATGAAACTGATCAAAACAAGGATGAAATAATCCCATTACAAATACATGAAGTGAGAATGAAATAAAGTGAACTCCTGAAGAGGTTTCCTAGTTTTGAATATGAGGCCATTCAAAAGATCAAAATCCACACCCTTATAATGACTTCTGTGTGGGAATTTTTGAAATTATAGTCCCAAAATATTTTGAGAGCATCAAGCTGAAGAAAGTTGATTTGAATCATGATCATTTAATGACCCCATAATCTCTTGTGGAGTGTAGTCTGAGCAACTGAATGGAGCTAGCTGAGTGTTTAATGGGCGGATGCCCTTCCTGTCGCCAATCTGGAGCTTTGTTCAGCAGATATA